AGACATTCTCAGGAGGAGCCCCCCCCGTGCACTCAAGGTTAACTACAGAGATAGTAATTTCTGAAACAATTTCCCTGTTACCAATTATTTGGGACATAAGAAACAGAGCACCACCTCACAACACTGCAGCAGACTAAAATCCAATTTTTTTCCCCTCCAACACTGAAGTGCCTTTTTTTAAAAAAAAAAATCTTCTCCGAGATTTATCCCCCACAAGGATATAATTATATATAAAGGAAAATAGATTGCCAGGAGCCATGAATGTCTTTGGATAGCTGCCATAACTTTATCTGTAGATCTTCACAAAGAGCTACTCCCACATGAATCACTTCTGGAGAGAGAAAGGGTGGAGGTGGGTCGCAGGAAACCAGGATTCATAGAGGAAAGAAGTCCTTTCCAGCCACATTTATTTTTATTTTATCTGGTTTGAAGCCTTTCAGGAGAGAAAAAGTTTCTTTATTTTACAAATATTTATTTTCCTCTTTGATCAGCAGCCATGAGATTCCCCAAATTCACAAAAGGTGGGGGCTGTGCCCGGGTTGACCCTGAGCGTGTGATTGCTTTGAGGTGTGTGTACGATCACGCTGCTGGCAGGGGGACTCAAAAGCTAACAAAGGAGAGAATGGTCTATCTGAAGATTTATTAGCCCAGACTCCTCTTTATTCCCAGTGACAGCCAGAGCAGCTAAACATCCCCTCTTGCTGGAAAGGAATCCGAGTCCAATGCCTAAATGGCAAAAATACTTGTGTTCATTGAGTGCGCTTTATCTCTCCAGTTCGAATATTAGTCTTGAGAATTTTATTCTAATATGGGTGTATGAATTCAGGACCTGCAAATGATATTATGGATCTTATTGTTGCCAGTCTTTTTTCAAGTAAGAGACTTTGATTGAACCTTTAAGAATGAATTGAAATGTAACCTTCATTTATCCAAACCCTCTCCTCTCCCAGGATACCGTGATTCTAAGAAATTATAGTTTGCTAAGACTAATTAGTGGCTTGAGTGAGGCATATAGACCCCTCATTCCTCTGCAAGCTCCTTTATCTAATGCTGGTTTCCTTAAATGTTGCACTGAAGACTTTGTTATAAGCTCCAAAGCCGCGTTCTCATTAGTAACCTGCAAGAACAGTGCAGAAGCCAAGCAACAGTGTCCAAAAAAATGTCAGAGCTTTAACGAAATGAACCGGAAATACTGAAACTAAATGATGAGCTAATCCAGCAAACTGCCAGCTGCATGATGTACTTCAGAACATCAAATGTAGGAAATTATAGAGTTACTGGCACTTTGCACTGGGATTTCAAGAACTCAAGATTTTAAGGTTATCCATGTTGGTATCTAAGATCATGCATCCTCTTTCTACATCTGACATAGCCATATTTGATATATAGCAAATGTTACTGTTTTATGTCTTTAACTGGGCCAAAAGAAGCTTTTAATAAGCTAGCCTGTATTCTGCCTTTCTAAGAAAGCTAGATAGTGAGATGCAGTGGTTCCCTCTGCTTTTGCAGCTCCTTTTAGGTAAGCATCCATCACTGTTTTTTGAAAGTAAAACTTAGAGTGGCATATTGTACATCTGACATCAATTAAGTGCAAATTTAGAGCAAGGTTTCTGACAGAAGTAGCATAGCTGCAGCACACAACCATTTTGCCTATAGCGTTGTATACCACAGACCAAATTCTCAGCTTGTATGAACTGACAAATCCCCAGAGTGACACTGGATCACTTCTGAATTATCAAGTGATGCTTTATCACACCACAGTAACTGCTTCATGAAGGTCAGCCTCTGAAACATCAGGAGATTGATCCTTGCCATAGATATGTGACCGTGCTTGCATAGAAGCTGATTTTGTAAGACAAGTATATGCATTCATGTAGCTGAAAATTAGGAGCCAAAAAAATATTAAGGCACAGGGCTAGGTGTATTTGAGATTAACTGTTTGAAAATAAGATGGCTTGTATCTAAAAGGAAGCAGCACAGTCAAGCTTGTTCTAATTACATAGAGGTCTTTGCATTTTCTTGCTTTGTCTATATTGTACCTACTATCATTGTCAATTTATTGAGTGGAAACTGAGCTTGTTACTTTGCAGTTATTTAACGCTGTAAAATTTAATGACTTATTTAATTTCTAATGTTATAAAACCATTTTGGATTGATAAAACCGGTCCTGTTTAAAAATCCTAATTCATCCCCCTTCATCCTCAGCTGCTTGCAACCCTATCCTAGAGTTTCATTTTAGGGTTTCCCAACTTTTTTTAAAGTCTGGGTGACCAAAACCTACAGCATTATTTATTTTCTCATAATTTCTTTGGCTTCAATATGTTTTATATTCAAGAGCTTCAGAAACCAGAGGACATCCCTGTAACGGCATGCTCCTTCATTGTTAGCATGTGCTTAGCTACTAGTGATATGACCACACATCCTAGAATAAACAGAAGGGCTCAAGTACAGCTTTATCTTCAATAAAGATTTTGGACTCCAGTGGCTGCTGCACTGTCATTAGATGCCACGAGCTGATTCAGTGCCCAGGTTCTAGCTTCTTAGACTCCTTGGACGATGTAAAAGACAGAACCAGAAGTTCTGCCAATGAACCACCATGTGATCCTGGCCGAGGCACCTCTGGCCAGCTGTGAGGGACATTTACAGTCTGAAGCAAGGGGCTAAACCAACTTCCTTAAGACTCCGTGTCTACAAAATGGAAAAATAAATATTTAGGACACCTGCTTTTAAAGTACCTTGAAAACATAAGCAATAAATAGAATTTCTCTTATAGTTCAGAAGACGGACCTAAAAGTGATTTGACATTTTTCTCTAGCTTTAGACATTTTTTATTTGCATTTTACTTCTTTTGTGCATACAGGTTAACTGCAGATTCCCTGAAGTTCTCTCATGCAGCTTGCCACTATGCCAGAGCTTCTTGTATATTCTAAATCTAAGAAGTTACAGCCAAAAGTCTAAGCCCTGACTTGCTCTATTCAAGAAATCAGATGTTAGTATCAAAGAAAACACATGGAAAAAAACAAATGAGGCTTATGGCCTAGATCACAGCTTTGTGTTATTTTGATCCCAGTTTCTGTGTGCCTACTATAATCAGTTTCAAGTTAACCTTCTTTTAATACTGCAAGAGAAAATGCCAAATACACATGTAACCTCTGATCTTTAAATGCTGAGCAAGAGCACTAAAATCCTAAGGTTTTATGAAATCACTTAATCTTAGTATTTACTACATTTCAAAGGAAGTGTTTGAAGAGCAGCAGAAAGGAGAAAGCAGAGAATGCGCTATCTTTTTATTATGATACAGAACACTTCAAAACTATTTTGTCTGGGTCATGCTATCTCAAACTCCAGCACAAGCACGCCTTGTTTAAAGTACCTCTGGCAAGAGCTTTCCAATTACTGCTTCCCAAAAAGCAACACTTTAATGGAGGGGGATGACATTGTTTAGCCTTCTCCTCGATTAGTTCAAAGGACAGTTAACTGAACCAGCAGACCAAATCCTGCCATATACAGCGTGCTCGTGCTTCCCACCAAGTCACACTGTGTGGTACAGAAAGCAGAGACATGCGTACGTGTGCCTCTAAGTGTAGGGTATGCGTAGGATTAAATTCCAAAACATTTTTAATCAAGAAAAATAAGAAAAAGTCATAAGAAAAAATATCGGTGTTGAATCTTGCATAAATAGAGGTCACAAAGAGCTATTATTAAACTTTTAAACCATCTATGTCCTCCATTTTGCTATTCACTTGCAATATAAGTTTTAATTTATCATGTGTATGTAGGGTAGTTTTGGAAATAGGTTTGGTGGAAGTGAACAGCTAAGGAGCAGGCTTTCATGATCTGTTTTAACTGTTGCTACTAAGCTAACAATAATTTACTGTTTCCTGAGACTGAGAGTTTGATTCTGACATTTGAAGTCTACGTTCAGCCAGACAACACAGTATTTGTGCTCTAGGTCTGTAAGCAGGTTATGTCTATATGCAGGTTATGTCTATATAGACTTGTACACACAATTTTAGAAGGCAGTTTTGAAAACATGTCATCAAAACCTCGGATAATTATTTTATTTCTATACGGGCAATCACCTCGCTAAAATAATTTGTGCCCTATTAGAAATATTTGGTGCTTGAAATTAAATTTCAGCTAACCACAGCTGTGAGAAAATCTGCCTGAGCCTAGAAGCAGACAGGGAAAGGGGGAGAAAGAGGGGGCAGTGGGGTACTGGGGAGTGAAAGGAAGCACGAGAGATCTGCGCAGCCAGAGAAGGCTGTATCCAAGCTTATTGTGCTGTCCACACTGAGGTCAAATGAGGGCAGGAATGGGAAGAGGTTGTTTTGTTTGCTTTAAATAACAACATGCAGGTTTATGCATGAAAGTAGCATAGGAATAAAATAACCCAAATAATAAATAAAAATAATAAATAAACCAGATGTCTATATGTCTTTTTGCCTTCAGTGCATCTAGAGATTCTGGTGGTTTTTTTTCTCTTTCATTTTAAATTTAATGGATCAACAAGCAAAATCCAAAACCAAAACTGAACAAAAGGACAGAAACTGCTGTGTCCTTCGCAGCAGACATGGTGTCTGACTTACCAGACTCCCGCGTACGACCTCTCACTACTTCACTCCATGGTCCTGCCCCAATGGCATTGAAAGCCTGGATCTGCAGTTCATACTCTGTCCACTCCTCCAGATCTTCAATCGTGTACTCTCTTTCCAATCGGTCATTAACAACCTTCATCAGGGTGGCAGACGGCAGATCCACACGCCAGAACTTTATTCTGTACCCCACTGACTCTGGATTGCCATTATACTGGGTGTCGGGGAGGGGCTGGCAAACAACAAAGAAAAGCACAATATTCCTACACAGAACACGCTGCCAGGGCTTTCCAAACTATATGCCAAGGCTGTCTGAACTCATATAAGGCCATAGGGAGGCAAAAAATACTAAGAGATTGATTTTCTCTTTTATTTATGCGTCACAATCTCTAAATTTCTGTGCTGCTTGAAATTTTCACCTTAACTTTGAACTAAACAGATATGCTCACAACACTATGCTGTTTGCTGTGGGTGTATCAACAGAGATGATATGAATACAATATAGTTCAGAGTTTTGTGATTAAATATGGAAATGAATGATAAATTGCTGAAGCATGTGACAAATTCATTTATCGTACATTTTTTACTTTCTTTACTGACTCTCTGCCTACTCATTTATCAGCAGAGATTTATTCTAGTATTCTAACTCCCCAAGCAATTTCAGAGATTAAAATATGAAATAATTAGCCTACTTCATGAAGTTTAGAGTTTTTCCCCACAAAACTATCTATATGACACCATGGATGGCTGAGATTCAGTTCTGAATCACTGGGAAAATTTGATACACATTAGCATTTCACAGCTTAGAAGACTGTACCCCGCAGGCAAGCAGGGCTAGAAATGTGACCCTTATTCTGTAGGAAGGAAGGAATTCCCAGCTCCTAAGGGGACACAGATTCACCTGAAGGTCTTGAAAAAAAGAGATTAAACAGTTTCAAATGCTGATGTTATTAAGCACGAAAGAGGTGTATCAGGTCATTTTTAGCTGTGGCTGTTGCTCCTTCTGAACCCTGCACAGTTTGACACATGGAAAACAGGCTTCCAGGTAGCACAGCAAGGAAACACAATCTTTAAAATATTTAAAAGTATTTAAAAAAAATTCCTGAGTTAATTTTGGTGGAAGATATGTAGGTCTGGATATAGTAGCAAAAAGTTTAACAATGTGGGCATGTTACTCCCATGGTAAAGCCACGATGAGTTATGTCGGTCCTACCAAATGAACTGCAATGGCTCTTCAATGGATGGATACATGGTGACACCTTGGTGTTTTGGTCTTTCAAGGCTCAGAATTAAGTGCAGTGTCCCATTGAGAAACTGGAATTATTTCTTTCTGATGGGAGAAAACCCCTCTTTTTTCTAGCCTGATTTTGACTTCCAGCCATAATGAGTTTATGCATGGAAAAACTAACATTTGGGCAAGAGAAAACTGTGCTTCATCAACTTCACAGCACAGTAACCCCAGTGGAAAATTCTGCCTAACAGGGGAGAAGAAAAACCATTCTGGAGCAGGTTAATTGCCAAGTAAATCCCAACGTGGTGACTCTGCAGGTAACTCAGACAGTCAAAGGGGCACAACAATGTCATCAATCACTGCATCTTCGCAATTAATCTTTTCTTTCTACATTTTATCACATACCTCCACACCCTTTCACATAAATATAATCTTCCTACAGGAATGTGAAATGCAAACCTTGCTGCCTTTGAACTGCAGTACCTGCAGGATGATTGCCAATGGCTGGTGTGCACCTTCTGGGGACTGTTTTGTACAAAGCAAACAACTGAGCTCTAGGAAACTGAAAACTGGCTCAAATATTATATTCCACGTCCACATGCTGACCCGGATTGTGATACTAGAGAGTCTCAAAAGCCAAGGTTTTACACACAGGTATATATACCCCTGATGAAGTGGCAGTAGTGGCAGTAGGCAAGTGATCGATAAGGCAAGTTATTAAGGTAAGTCTCAGAGTTCTGATTATTCTGAAAAAGGAAATAATTCTGTTGTTATTCCTTATGCTGAATGCAAGGAAAGGGCACTCTGGAGTGCTGGCCTGACCCCCTGGGAAAGCAGGCGCATCCCAAGCACCAGCCCTGGCTCCCCTCCGCCCGCCATCCCTCCTGGCCAGCTCACCACCCATCGCAGCCACAGGCTGGTCTCGCTGGCCGTGCGCACGGTGACGCTCCCGGGGGCAACATCTGGGGGGGCCTGCAACGTCTGGATGACCCGGGAGGGCTGGCTGCGCGGGCTGGGGCCCACCACGTTCACCTGCTGCATCCGGAACCTGGAGCAGAGAGAAGATGCAGTATATGCTGTAACAGCTCAGCAAACGGTACCTCTCTTTCCAGAAGATGAAAAAGATGGAAAAATACAAATTAGGTCTTTCTAAATGTTCCACAAAGGTCGTTGCACGCAGGTCCCCTTTGTATTCACTGCTGAATGCTTTATGGCAACCGCTTTCAGATCCTCTCAGGTATTAAAAAAAAAATGAAAATGAGATTAGCTTAGGGTCTATTAGAAACTTAGGTATTTGTGTGAGAAATTTATGTTAATTATACCAAGCCTGATGAGCTTATGCTAGCAGTAAGTGATTTTCTCTTGCGATGCTTGTACAATACATTCAGAAAGGTATTAAAATATCAAACTTCAGATATTCTCATTCCCTGTCAATATAAAAAATATACTAGTGATAACATTTCCCCTCAATTACTGGTTGAAAGAAACTGATTTATCCCTGTGCCGCATTTTCAGCCTTCCTGCACAAGAAAGATTAAGTTATTTAATATGGATATGCGTCTTTAAAAAAATACCCTGTCTGCTTGAAACCGTCTCTTCCACAATAGAAATCCCTATTGGGTCACAAAAGATTTAGAGAAATCTTTTTTTCAGAAAGCACAAAATAATTAAGACATGCTGTACATTTCAGATACACTCACCCGTCACAAGCAATTAGAGGTATCCAGCACTTGCACAGAAATACATGACCTGTTCATACTAAACACTTAATTTTCAGACCTAATGACTGAGCTTGGGAAAAAGGTGAGCCAGTCAGCATAGCAGTGCTTATTTATCTGCTGTGATCTCCTAGAAAATGCATTAAAGAAAACTCATTAAACAAATACTGTCCTTGATTTCACTCTCAAACATTGGCACAAAATATAGAAAAGAAGCTGACGGATAAAAATGTGGTCTGATAATTAGCTCTCATGATGTATTTCCTCAGTAGGCAATAAGTAAAGCTGACCAGAGGACAACAAATTAATTTGGCAACAACTTTCTAGGTTTCAAAAAATTATACGAGATTTCTCTACACTGAAACAAAACCAAAAAAGCTCGTATCTGTGCATGCATGAGAGGAAAAAACTAGGCAAAATTCAAGAATCTGCTTTACAATGAAAAAAGCCAGAGAACTGGAAGCATGAAAAATCCCTGAATAACTGGGATCACTCCCCAGAATTCAGTGGATACAAGAGAGAAATGAGGCATAGCAGTAAAATAAACGAAAAACTTTAACAATAGAAAAAAAACAACGACCACCCCAAGTTCATCATATACTTTTTTATATTTCATCCCAAAGACATTCCTCCATACACCTGCTAGGTATGCAAGTCTTTCCTATTTTGCATGGATACTGAATGTTGAACTCTGGTACGACCTGCACTTCACTATTCACCTCTGCCTTTTCACCTTTAAGGATCCACCTTTTTGAGGAGAGCAAAATATTCTCAGCCTGAAGATAATTTTATTAAACCACTGCACCAGAAATCTCCGCTCCAGTTGAAAAATGTTCAAAGGGCTTTTAGTAAAATGTTTAGCTCTTAAGGATAAGGTGTAAAACACTTTAGTGGAGAGCTTGTGAGAAATTCAATACGTTCCTGGGCTTTGAAGGGAAGAAAACCAGTGTACCAGCACTGAATTAGTTGTAAATTACATGAGCTTTACTTGGTTGCACCCACTACTAGCTCACAACAGCACATGGGCTAGCTAATAGGCCCTTCAGCCAGCACAAAATGGACAAGTTTCTAGAAAGCTGATTTAACACGTGCCACTATTTCCTTGCAACCAGCCTTTACATTAGCAAGCTACCTCATGAAAGTATTTTTCATTAGGATTGAATACCTCAGATTCTCAAATCTTGTCTATACTAAAGCAACGCATCACTTGAATTGAATTGATTTAAAAATCAATCTCATTTAACTGGGGTGCACCCATAACGTAGATTCACTTCAATCAGTTTAAGTATTGCATATATCTATTAAGCTTAACGTGGTAGATTCTTATAAACAAAGGTTTCATCTAACTGATGTTACCAAATTAAGCTAAATCAATAAAACGATGTTTAAACTGATGTAAATATGTAATTACACGTTTGCACCAGTTTAACTACAATTGATTTGTCACTGACTGATGTTACACGGGTGCACCCTTTAGATGAGGGAAGTTACAGGATATCAGTTACTCATAAAAGCATTTCACTGTGCACTTGGATTTCCTTTTTAATGTTACAAACTGCATTGTATGTGAATTACAATTAACAACATCAGACGAGTAATTTTAAGTATAAACAATGAAAACAGCCGAGCTTTTCTCTTTTGTTCAGATTATAAAACACAGCCAGCTGTTTTTGATTAAGAAAGATGTTCCATGCTGCTATTTACTAATTTTTTTTCATGCTGCAGCTAATTACCTGCTGTTCTTACCTGTAATGAGTGTAAGGAGTAAGGTTCGGTACCTCCAGCATCTGAGCATCAGGTTCATTCTCCACTTCACGCAGACTCACCCACTCTTCATCATCACCCAGTACACCAACCTGCACATAGGAAAGGGAAGAAGGAATATATAAAGAATTAGATATATAACTTCTTTTGCAATGTGTGTCATCACAGCAGTGGAAGGACAAATCCTTTTAAATACATATTACCCAATTAATTTTTATATGACAAGGCATTAGTTATTTGCAAAGCAGCAACACAGCCAGGTTAGCCTAGATTCCTTGTACCTGTTGGGGCTTCATTGGGATCCTCTGATAAGATCTGTTCCAGAAAACCACCATGAGAGTGCCAATACTCTGTTAATCACTCTACCACAATACAAAAGTATCAAGTAGTAATATAACAAAATGAAAAACAGCCTTGATAATAACTTGCAGGAACTGATGCATACTAAATAAGTCTCAATGGAGGCAAAATGCCACAGAAATGAAGACAGAGAAACAAGAACAAAGTCAAAGAACAAAAGTGTTTTAACCTCATCTGCTGGTCTGCACTTAGACCAGATTTCTCCATGTGCAATTCTTTGTATTAATTAATCACAACATGTTGCCCAACACAGTCCCTCAGCTATGGCAGCGTTAGAAGGGACAAAATGGTGATAAGAACTGAGAGCATCGCTTTCTATACAGCTTTCTGGAGATAAAATGAAGATGAATCAGGACTTAAAAGGAAGTCAACAAGGCATGATAGAAAGGCTACAGTCTGACCCGGGACCCTGGAAGATGGCAGCATACTGATGGCAGGGTTGTGTGCGTAAGAGCCACAGTAGGAGTGTGGAGAGGCAGAGGAGAGGAGGTAGATGGCTGCACTACACTTTGGAGATTCACACATCCTGAAAAACAGGGGATCTTAGACAAGACTCCCCAGTATAATTCCCTAGCACTGTGCACATTTACTCTGGTGTTTCAACCCTACCACAAAGCATAGTACCTGTAGCCCAGTTCCCTCACCATACCCCGGTATCCACAATGACAGGCTGAAGGATTTTAGGGGGTACACAGGCAGCTATTCCCTCTAGTGTCTATTTACAGACAATATCCATGAAGATGCCTAATCCTTTTTTAACCTACTGACACTATCTACTCCCACAGACTGCTGTGGCAACAAATTCCAGAAGCTCACAACCCACTGTGTAAAGAGCTATTTCCTTTAATCTTGTTTAAACAGATCCCTTACAAGTTCTGTATACTAGTTACAGCCACAGACACTGTCAAAGCACTCGATAGGCAATGTAGCCCAAAGTATCTAGCATACCCCAAGTACTTCAAATAGAAAATTAGGTTTAGTTCACTCCCCCCCCCC